TCCTCCTGCCTCCATTTCCTGAGTGCTGGGATCACAGGCCTGTGCCACCATGCCAGGTTTATGTGGCGCTGGGGATAAAACCAGGATCTTGTTCATATTAGGCAAGTACCCTACTAACTGAGTCCCATCCCTAGTGTGGCTCTTCTCTCTCTCTCTCTCTCTCTCTCTCTCTCTCTCTCTCTCTCTCTCTCTCTCTCTCTCACTCACACACACACACACACACACACACAAAATTAAATCCTATTCTGTGCAACTATCAGAATACAATATGATGAATGATGAGAAAAGTTAAACTCATGAACATCCATCCAGTGGCTGGGAACTGCAGAGAGAGAGAGAGAGAGAGAGAGAGAGAGAGAGAGAGAGGAGAGAGAGGCAGGCCAGAACTTCACCAAGGATAAGCCATGGCCCCCAGACCTGCAGATCACTTGGGGAAGCAGGAGTAGAGGGCATACAGGGACACAGGGCTCGGGGACTGAGCGACTATAACAGAAGCTGCTGCTTGTGCCTGGTTGCTGTCCGCAGCCTCCCCTCTCCTTATAGCATCTGTGGCAGAGACAGCCCCTCTTCATCTCCTGTGAACTCTAGGAAGGTCTGGCTGTGCCGCAGCTTGTTTATCTTTGCCTGGAATCCTAAGAGTTTATCTCCCACCATTGATCTCCCTGGTAGGTTTGTTTGTGTTTTTATACAAACACAGTCCATCTGCTTTGATAGTTGTCCTCTGGGAGTCTCTTTTGTCTGTCGCTAATGTCATACTCCAGAGCTAGCTAAACACAGAAGGACTGATCCTTGCAGCAACTTCAAACCAAGAGCCTGGGGATGGCAGAGCCAGAGGGAAGCTCTGTGTGGCCAGAACACAGTTCTGCTCCTCTCTAACATGCTATTGTCTTCCCCTAACTCTGGGTCCCTTCAACTCTGCCGTTCACTTAATAGTCTGGGAACAGTTCCACTCCTCTATGTAGGTCAGAGCCTCAGTTCTCAGGGCTCCCAGCTGACTTAAGGATGTCAACAATGAATCTTTCTCCTTGTCGAGCATCTTCAGTGTGTGTGTGTGTGTGTGTGTGTGTGTGTGATTTGTGTGCAGTGTGTGTTTACATGTACAGGCAGGAGCATTTCTACATGTATGCGTAAGGGTGTGGAGACCTAGAGGCCCATGTCAAGTACCTTCCTTTAACAGGATCCACCATGTTTTTAGACAGATCTTCACTGAACCTGCAGTTCACTGTCTGGCCCAGAAACTCCAGTATGTTTTAAATTAACTCAGTCTGTTCCAGGATAGATAGACAGGCACAGATGTATTTCAGGTAAAAAGGTCTTTTAATGCTGAATGCTACCATAGGGATTCAGTTCTGAATCTCAACTGAAGGACCATCCTGGGAAGCAAAAGGGATTTAGTTCCTAGAAGGGTCGAGTGCTCTAAGGGAAAACATAGCATTGCTACAGGCTTGTGTGTGGTTTGGGTAGCAGTAGTCTGGGTTGCGACATTGCCAGAAGGTAATGTCAGCACTGAGGGAGTGGACACAACTAAACACTGCCTTCCTCCACACCCTAAACATTTTGGGACCTCAACTCAGACCAGGATCTGCAGCTTTTGTTTTGAAAAGAACTCCAACACTCACTGGCACAGTGAAGCCGAGTTGGAGGTTTTGTTAAGAATATTTTTTTTAATTTATTTATTTATTAACGATTTCTGCCTCCTCCCCGCCACTACCTCCCATTTTCCTCCCCCTCCCCCAACCAAGTCCCCCTCCCTCATCAGCCCAAAGAGCAATCAGGGTTCCCTGACCTGTGGGAAGTCCAAGGACCACCCACCTCCATCCAGGTCTAGTAAGGTGAGCATCCAAACTGCCTAGGCTCCCCCAAAGCCAGTACGTGCAGTAGGATCAAAAACCCATTGTCATTGTTCTTGAGTTCTCAGTAGTCCTCATTGTCCACTATGTTCAGCGAGTCCGGTTTTATCCCATGCTTTTTCAGACCCAGGCCAGCTGGCCTTGGTGAGTTCCCGATAGAACATCCCCATTGTCTCAGTGTGTGGGTGCACGAACATGGGATGTACTCACTCATATTTGATTTCTAGCCATAAATAAAGGACATTGAGCCTATAATTCGCAATCCTAGAGAAGCTAAATAAGATGAACCCAAAGAATATTTTAATAGTTGCTAGAAGGAGAATCATTCTTTCCTAAGAATGTGACAGCTGGTAGGTTTCCCATGCTCCAGGGAATGCCCCCCCTCCCCTGTGCTCCTACCCCATTCACATGTGGGCAACAGTAACTAAACTGAACCTAATGGGAGATTTAGGCAGGGAGAAAAGACGTGAGGTTGGGAAGGATCGTGATGGGAGACATGAAGAAGTTGGAGGGGTAAATGAAGCATAGGTATGATCATACTGAAGGGGAAGTGGAGGGAGGGTAGGGGAAGTAGAGGAAGCATAGGTGTGATCATAGGGAAAGGGAAGTGGAGGGAGGGTAGGTGTGATCATGAGGAAGGAAAGTGGAGGGAGGGTGCCCCGCACCGTCTCCCCCTCCCCCCCCCCCCCCCCCCCCC